AAACACTGAATCTAGGGTCTAAGTTCATAAAAAGACTATCCTGAACTGTTTCTGTAAAGCTGAATCAGTAGTGCTAGATTTTACTTAGGGGAGTTAACCAATTTTGTATGAAGTCATTCACTGGCACCCCTCCTAGCAGGGTGGGTATCTTCAGATCAGTGGAAATTTCCCCAAAGATCAGATTATTATGGATTGCATAATAAGCTGACTAACAGTCAATAGTTAGGGAGTAAACATGATACAGAAAAAGAGAAGGACCAAATCCAAACGTGTTTAGGGCTGATGCTCTTTTATCATATTGTAGATTCTTTGCCTCTTGCCATACTTGCTTATAGTGTTTTTGACTCGGTACGTTATTAATGAGTTAGATAATAACTCCTTAATGTTAGACATAAAATATTGGGTCATTAACTAGTTTTGAATGAATTCAAGCTCTGGGTGCGGAGGAATTCTCTTTCTGTCCCTCCTTTCCCCCTTCCTATTTTCCTCTACACGCGCACACAGTTATTTTTTTTGAAAACTGTTCAAAAGTAAGTTATATACATCATGGTCCTTTATCCCTAAATATTTCAGTATGTATTTCCTTAGAATATTTTCTTTTCATTACTGTAGCACAGTTATCAACTTCAGTAAATTCAACAGTGATAAAATGTCTTTAATCTACTGTACATCCTATTCCAGTTTTGTTGATTGACCTGATAATGTCCTTTATACCAGTTTTTCCTCCCTTCAGTACAGGATCCATCTAGGATCAATATTGTATTTAATTGTCATATCTTTTTAGTATTCCTTAATTTGGAATGTTTTCACAGCTTTATCTTTTGTGAAGTTGACATTTTTGAAGAATATAATCTGTTTTCTTTTTTAATAGAACATTTCAAATTTTGAATTTCATGTGTCCTCTTGATTAGATTCAGATTATGCATTCCTGGCCAGAAAACTCACAAGTGATGATGTGTCCTCAGGGTATCACATCTGGAGGCACATGATGTCCATCTACTCCTCATTGGTGGTATTCTCAACATTTCCAATTTTCCCTTTTCCCCATTAATCAATCTGTGGGAGACATTTTAAGACCATACGAATGTCCTAGTCATCAAAATTTCCCCCTTGATTTAATACCAACTTATAATCCTTACCTAAACTAGGCTTTACTATGATGGTGGCAAAATGATGATTTTTAACTCCAGTAGTTCCTCTACATATACCATGGTACTCAGCACTCTACAAGACCGCCTTCCCTTCTCCTTCATTGATTGATTCATTGGTACAGATTTATGGACTCCTGGTTTTTTCAGTGGTTTATAATTTGCTGTTCTTTCTTTCTCCTGCTTCGTATTTGTATGTCTTCGACAGTGAGAGTGCTGGTTCTCAACATCATCAAAACATTTACACATTTTGCTCAATATGTTTGTGTAATACATCTAAAGTAGTTTCAGAATTGCTTTGCCCATACCACTGCAAAAAACAAATCTAGTAAAAAGAGTAAGAATTTATTTTTTTAATATATATATTTTTTATTGTACTTTAGATGAAGGTTTACAGAACAAACTAGTTTCTCATTAAACAGTACACGTATTGTTTTATGACATTGATTTAATAATGCCACGACACGTCAGCACTCTCCCTTCTTGACCTTGGGTTCTCTATTACCACTTTTCCTGTCCGCTCGTGCCTTCTAGTCCTTGTTTCTGGGCCGTTGAGCCCCTTTAGTCTTGTTTTGTTTTATGGTCCTGTCTAATCTTTGGCTGAAGAGTGAACCTCGGGAGTAACTTCATTACTGAGCTAAAAGGGTGTCTTGGGGCCATATTCTCAGGGTTTCTCCAGTCTCTTGTCAGACCAGTAAGTCTGATCTTTTTTTGTGAGTTAGAATTTTGTTGTACGTTTTCTCCAGCTCTGTCCAGAAACCTTTATTGGGATCCTTGTTGGAGCAGTCGGTGGTGGTAGCCGGGCACCGTCTAGTTGTACTGGACTCAGTCTCGTGGAGGCCATGGTCGTTGTGGTCCATTAGTCCTTGGACTAATCTTTCCCTTGTATAAAAGAGTAAGAATTTGTTTGCAGTTCTCCTTTTCCCCAGCTCCAGCCAAGACTGAAGGCATATAAATCAAACACTGTGTTCATAAATTACTTGAATTAGTTTTCTTTTTCCCGTCAGTGGGTTATGATGTTCATTTGGAATGCAGTTGATTTAATTTGCTTCAGTTTGCTTTCAGTTTTAGATCTCCCCTTCCCATCCTTGATGATTTTATTTAATTTTTTTAATAATGATAGATTATTAGTATGTTTCCAAAAATTAAAACTATACAATGAACTCCTGTAAACTCTGGCATCCTTCCTATGGTACCCCTTGTAGGTAACCAACTTCATTATTTTCTGCTTTATCCTTCGTTTATCTTTGTAACCATAAGCAGATTTTATATGTATGTGTGTGTATATAATTTTTTTTTCTTATTTCCCTTTTCTTACACAAAAGGTGGCATCCTATATATGCCCTTTTGTACTTTGTAAAGACTTTTAGACTTCTGATGCATTTGGCCAGATGGTTTTAGGTATGTTTAGTTGAAGTCTTTGGGAAAAAACAAAACCAAACCCATTGCCATTGAGTTGGTTCCGACTCATAGCGACCAGATAGGAGAGAGTAGAACTGTCCCGTAGGGTTTCTGAGGGGCAGCTGGCAAATTTGAATTGCTGACCTTTTGGTTAGCAGCTGAGCTTTTAACCATTGTGCCACCAGACTTTGGAAACCCACCTTTAATTACCTTAGGTAAGTGGGAACATTTTTTAGCCCATGCAGTCCATGAAAGACATGAACAACCAAATGGCGGGGAGGACAAGGATGGTAGGTAGTCCTTAGGAACAGTTGGAACTGGGTATTGAATGTTGTCCTTTTTGGTCCTGCTTACCTCTATCGGCTTTATTTTGTTTCAGTGCTTGTGTTTTCTCACTAAGGCAGTATAGCTGTCAACAGCGTTTGCATTTTGTACTATGTCTACCACTTTTTCTCATTTCTAGTTAAAAAAATTGCAGGGAAGATTTTTTGTTTTTATTGTTTTTAGCTGAGTTGAATTATTATTTTTATTGTACTTTAGATGAAGGTTTGCAGAACAAACTAGCTTCTCATTAAACAGTACATATATTGTTTTATGACATTGGTTAACAACCCCATGCCATGTCAGTACTCTCCTTTCTTGACCTTGGGTTCCCTATTACCAGCTTTCCTGTCCCCTCCTGCCTTCTAGTCCTTGCCCCTGGGCTGGTGTGCCCCTTTAGTCTCGTTTTGTCCTATGGACCTGTCTGATCTTTGGCTAAAAGGTGAACCTCCGGAGTGACTTCACCACTGAGGTAAAAAGGTGTCCGGGAGGCCATACTTTAGGGGTTTCTCCAGTCTTTGTCAGGCCAGTAAGTCTGGTCTTTTTTTGAGTTAGCATTTTGTTGTACATTTTTCTCTAGTTCTGTCCAGGACCCTCTATTGTGATTTCTGTTGGAGCAGTCAGTGGTGGTAGCCGGGCACCATCTAGTTGTACTGGACTCAGTCTGGTGGAGGCCCTAGTAGTTGTGGTCCGTTATCTTTCCCTTGTGTCTTTAGTTTCCTTCATTTTCCCTTGCTCCTGAAGGGATGAGACCAGTGGAGTATCTTAGATGGCTGCTTACACACTTTTAAGACCCCAGACGCTACTCACCAAAGTAAAATGTAGAACATTTTCTTTGTGAACTGTGTTATGCCAGTTGAGCTAGATGTTGCAGGGAATAGTTGACTCTTCTAGCTTGGATCAGGTGGTTTCTCTTTGACTAATCTATTTATTGGGATGGCAGGGCACTCATATAGTAGTGATGGTGTTAGGTGCCGTTGTCGAGTCACTTCTGACTCGTAGTAACCCTATGCACAACAGAACAAAATGCTACCCAGTCCTGTGCCATCCTCACAGTCGTTATGCACGAGCCCATTGTTGCAGCCACTGTGTTTATCCATCTCCTTGAGGGTCTGCCTCTTTTTCACTGACCGTCTACTTTGCCAAGCGTGATGTCCTCCAGGGACTGATCCCCTCCTAATAACGTCCAGAGTATGTGAGATGTAGTCTTGCCATCCTTGCTTCTAAGGAGCATTCTGGCTGTACTTTTTCCAAGACAAATTTGTTTGTTCTTTTGACGGTCCATGGTATGTTCAATATTCTCCGCCAGCGCCATAATTCAAAGACATCAATTCTTCTTCAGTCTTCCTTATTCGTTGTCCAGATTCACATGCATATGAGGCCATTGAAAACGCCATGGCTTGGGTCAGGCACACCTTAGTTTTCAAGGTGACATCTTTGCTTTTTTAATACTTTAGAGAGGTCTTTTGCAGCACATTTGCCCAATGCAATGGGTCATTTGATTTCTTGACTGCTGCTTCCATGGGCATTGATTGTGAATCCAAGTAAAATGAAATCCTTGACAACTTCAGTCTTTTCTCCGCTTATCATGATGTTGCTTATTTGTCCAGTTGTGAGGATTTTTGTTTTATGTTGAGGTATAATCCATACTGAAGGCTGTAGTCTTTGATCTTCATCAGTAAGTACTTCAAGTCCTCTTCACTTTTAGCAAACAAGGTTGTATCATCTGCATAACGCAGGTTGTTAACTAATCTTCCTCCAGTCCTGATGCCCTGTTCTTCATATAGTCCCACTTCTTGGATTATTTGCTCAGCATACAGATTGAATAAGTATTGTGAAAGCATACAACCCTGATGCACACCTTTCCTAACTTTAAACCATGTGGTATCCGCTTGTTCCATTCGAACGACTGCCTGTTGACCTATGTACAGGTTCCTCATAAACACAATTGTTCTGGAATTCCTATTCTTTGTAATATTATCCATAATTTGTTTTGATCCACACAGTCGAATGCCTTTGCATAGTCAATAAAACACAGGTAAACATCTTTCTGGTATTCTTTGCTTTCAGCCAGGATCTGTCTGATATCAGCAGTGATACCCCTGGTTCCACGTCCTCTTCTGAATCTGGCTTGAATTTCTGGTAGTCCACTGTTGATGTACTGCTCCAAGCACTTTTGAACTTCAGCAAAATTTTACTTGTGTGTGATACTAATGATATTGTTCAATAATTTCCACATTTGGTTGGATCACCAGCATGTATGTGGTGTACGTGCTGTTAAAAAAGGAAATAAGAGGATATATATGAGTATTAAAAAAATGAAATCTGTTGCCGTCAAGTTGATTCCAACTCATTAGTGACCCTATAGTACAGGGTAGAACTGCCCCATAGGGTTATCAAGAAGTACCTGGTAGATTCGAACTGCGGACCTTTTGGTTAGTAGCCATAGCTCTTAACCACTATACCACCAGAGTTTCCTATATAAGTGTACTCACCTGTTTATCAAAAAGTTGTTTTCCTGGAAAAAATAATATCAAAGCATTGTTACGTGAGATTGTTACTGCGTGGTCTTCATGGGATTGTGCATTCTGTTCACGTCATGAAATCACGATGCTTATCACTCCTTCCAAATGGCAGTGAAGTTTGTGATGTCCTTCATAATGCCAAATGATGTTTCTAATTGCTTATATTTGTTTTGTTTCTTTGACCATTTCCTGAAGGCACCACATTTTGGCATTTTACCTATTATCCAGCTTGATACTCTGTCTTCACACTTGTGACACCTTCAGCATTTTGACTTGCATACTTTTTGTGAGATATGAGAGGACAAAAGTAATGATAAAGTTTGCTAAGTGGATCTGTCTACATGGTAGAAGAGATTAGCAGATTGAGTGTTTGTTAAACTGAGGAAAGCAGAGAATGCTATCTTAGTGCTTTGTGACTTTACAGTAGGACTCAGTCTTGAATGAACCGGCCTGTGCAGGAACTGCATTTTCAAGTACCAAGGCAACACCAACTAAGGTATGTAGATATGTACCTAGAAAAATGGTAATGGTGGTTTTCCCTTTGTAGTAGGATTATTGAAAATTCTCTTTTCTGCATATAATTAAGGTGATTTTTCGTCTTTCCGTTTTTGACGGAGGGTGGAAGAAATGAAATCTGTATTTTTTATATTAGGAAAAAAAACAAAGCTTATAAAATAAATTTGCATTTCCATATCTAGGCTGAGGCATGTAAAGAACAGGTAAAGATGTAGGTTCTCATGATCTTGCCACTTGCTGGTTAAGTTGGAAGGCTTCACTTAGTCCAGGGTTGTTGTGTGACTCAAGTGAGATAATGAATATTAAAATGCTTTGTAAACCATGTAGTGCTGTCAAACCCAAGTGTCAGGTTTGATAGAAACCTTTTCATTATGAATCTAATGGAGCCATTATGATCTGGCTGGTTAAATTTTAATGATGCTTTTGAATTCTAAGAGATTTCAGGTCTCCGATACCTATAAGAAAAAATTAAGGGTGCCCTTCCTTCCTGAAAGATGGCATCAAAATCGCAGGTAGTTCTTCATTGTCCGTGGTAGTGGACATTTCAGAAACACCTCATGGGATCTAATGGTGATATCTTTTGAATCCATTAAGCCATTTCTCTGTGTATGCTTCAAGAACTCAATTCCTACTAGATGCTTCTAAAATAATTTTTATGGTTGACATTATATTGAACATTGCTTATTTTGGAGTGGCATGTTTTAGTTCTTAAAAAGAGATGAGAATTTTGGACTACTTGTCAAAATAATAAACCAGTTTTAAGCAGTTTAGAATGTTTTGTGACCATTAAATATCCTGTTTTGAAGAATATTAAATATGGGAAAATAAAATGTCAGTTGAAAATAGCAAGTAATGCAGTTCTGATTTCACACAGTAAAGTTTGGTGTAATCCCCTCCTCCTGCTCGCTCACACACACACAAACACACAACTAGAAGAAACTCTGCAGCAACTAGAAGAAACTATCACAAGTATTACTTTATTTTGGATCATGGGTTTATTGGCAAGGACTTTATTTACTGCTATTTTATTTTCTATAACAAGCATATATTATTTAATCAAGAATTAGAATTTATTTTAAAGAGTTAATACTGTTTAATTGCAGCTGTTTTCAGAGTTAATAATTAAGCATTCAGATCTCAACTCAGTTTTTCCCGGTTCATTTATATGATTTCATAAGTTGGCCATCCGTATGGTCTTCTAGGTGAGCAAACTTTATGACCAGAGCTCCTGGGGGTAATTGAGCTGTCATAATTTGGTTGTTTTTCAGGAGTTAATGCCAAATTTAAATCAGTTGCAGTCCAGTCAGTTCTGACTCTTGGTGACCCTGTGTGTGTCAGAGTAGAACTCTGCTCCATAGAGTAATTTTTTTCCTTGGGAATAGATCGCCAGGCCTTTACTCTAAGATACCTCTGGGTGGACTTGAACCTTCAACCTTTCAATTGTACCAGTGTCATTTTCTAAAGGCAGAGTGTTTATTTATTTATTTTGGTGTGGCATAACCTAATTTTTAATCACATTTCTTGTCAAGAACTCTTTGCTTGTTTTGCTTAATTTTACTTTATCTCACAAGTTACCTTTTTCCACCAAAAGGTAGAATGATACAGAGACAGATAATGAAATAAGAAGTTTTTAATAACTGATAAATCAGGTGGAAAGGAAGGGTATAGAGAATAAATAACTAAAATGAGATTTTAGACTTAAATCTTAGTTTATTCATACATTACCTGTTAATCATAACAAATTAGCTAATTTTAATTTTTGTTAGATCTTGCTGTGGTAATGTTAGATTGAGGAGAATGAAATTTTCAGTAACTCAAGTTGGTTTTATACTCTCTTCCCCCTTTGTTTTCTGTTAAAAATCATACTTTGCACCTAAAATTTTTTTTGTTATGGGAATTTTCAAACATGCAAAAAATAGAGAAGAAAAGGTAATGACTCCCTATAACTATAGATTTTGAGTTTATAATAGCCAAAGAAAGGATATAACTTTAGACCGGAGTATACTATTGTGCACTGGGGGAGCTTGTCCCGCCCCCTCCCCTTATCTCTGCATTTTAAGTTTTTTTCCCCCTAAGATTTTTACATTATTAGAGATTATTGCATCAAAACACTTTTATAAAGAACAGCTGACTATCTTGATTACATTTATCTCTGGGGTTCTAGAACAGCAGTTAACGCAGTTTTTCTAGTGTGGGGTTTGTTCTCTGGAAATGTAACTATTCTTGTGAATGTGTTCAGCTAGAGATTGTGTTTGTAGGAATAGGAGGTGTTTTTCTTACAGTTTCTGCTTTTGCTTACCTCTTTCCCTTTTTTTTCTAAATGTAATTACCGTCTGCTTTGCAGAGGCAGAAATTTAAAAGTTACTGATGCTCAAGAGTATGGTTTGGCTGCCTGCCAAGCCCCTGCCCAACAAAGGAGAGTGGAAAGGAGAAGGAAAGAAACATTAGGCAGCTCCTTTGTGAGACACTATACTGAGTTATCTTTTATCTGATTTAGTTCTTACAATAATTCAGAGAGGTAGATACTTTTCCCATTTCACAGATGAGAAAACTGACGCTAGGAAGGTTAAATAGCTTGTTGAAGATACCGGTAGTAAATGGTGAGTATGGTAGAATTCAAACTCCTTAATCTACCTTACGCTTCTCATTTGGGAGATAGAAATAAGTGCTTTTTAGTATGGTTGAAAAAATTCTATTGGTACTACATTTTAGTGCTAAGAATAATGTCATGCAATGAATGATCTAGAACTTTTCTGATTTAATAATTTTTAAAACTTTGAGGAAGATGATGTTTTCTTCATTTTATAAATGAGAGAACTGGCTACTAAGTAGCACAGCTGGGATTCAAACCCATATCTCTTGGCACAGCTGGGATTCAAACCCATGTCTTTTTGCCCTCCCCCCCTTTTTTTTTTTTTTTTTTTTACTCTGCCTTGATGCCTAATTGTAGTCCTCCTTTTCGTATCCCTGAAATATAGTAAATAACCCAACACTGCAAATGTTCTTTAAGTATTTAAGTGAATTGAATTACTAAATAAAATGTTTTTCAAATATCAGAGTATCAGCTTAGAAATGAATTTGAAAGACTACATATGTTACTTCATTCATTGAGTTGTCAGTTTAATGTGTGCCGTAGGAGATGATCAAAAGGATTTTTGTGGGGTTGGACTTCACAAGGAATGGGTTTGATTCAGAGATAGGACTAATCTAATCTAGGTGATGAGGTATGAGTAAAAGTATGGAAGCAAGGTGTCTCAGAAGACGTACCTGGCTATCTGCTTCTGAAAGGCCACAGTCTTGAACACCCTATGGAGTAGTACTGCTCTGTACCCATGGGGTCACTGTGGAGATGGTTGTTCTTGTTGGGTGCCATCAAGTTGATTCTGACTCATAACAACTGCATGTGATAGAGTAGAACTGCTCCATAGAGGTTTCTTGACCGTAATCTTCGCGGAAGCAGATCACCAGGTCTTTCTCTCTCAGGGATGCTGGATGGGTTCAAACCACCAGCCTTTCGGTTAGCAGCCAAGTGCTTAACCTAGCAAATAGACTAATTTGGCTTTAGCAGAAGGTTTGCATTAAGTATTACTAGCTAGTAAGATATGAAGTGTAGATTGAGATTAGGTTATAAATACTAAATGCTGGACTTAGGAGTTGAGACAGTATCTTACAGGCATTGGTAAAGTGAAGATTTTTATGTAGAGAAAGATATGCTGAAAGACATGTTTTAAGGATACTAATCTGACAGGCCCCCTGGTGGCGCAGTGGTTAAGAGCTCAGCTGCTAACCAAAAGGTCAGCAGTTCGAATCTACCAGCTGCTCCTTGGAAACCCTATGGGGCTGTTCTACTCTGTTCTGTAGGGTCACTATGAGTTGGAATTGACTTAGTGACAATGGGGTAATCTGACAGTGACAGAGTGAATTGGAATGGAGGCCAGCTGTGGTGTAGAAAGATGAAAGCTTGTAGTAGGGTGGTAGTTGTGAGAGAAAAAAGGAAGTATGTATGAGAGGTATTGACAGGAATATGTAGAATTTTATGATTAGTTAGAAATGAAGAATGCGATGTTTTTTTTAAACCTTGCTGGCTAAGAGAATTGGTGTAGAGAGAGGCAGAAGATTGAAGATGGATAGTTTTTGGAGAAAGTCCAAAAGCCAATAAAAACAGTAGCTAACATAACAGTTGGCATAAAGGAGATAGGTTCCCATCAAATATGTCTATCTCCATAGATAATTTTATCAGATAGTTCTTAGTTAACAGAAGACTTGAACATTTTATTTAACTGAAGCTGTATTTTGTCTTGGTCCAGAACTTTACAACTCTGTCAGATACATGCCATTAATAGCTTTATTTATAACTTTTTATCATTCCAGCACAGCTGTTTCTTTTTATTATAGTATTTTATTCAGAGGAGCCCTGGTAGCACAGTGGTTAAGAGCTCGGCTGCTAACCAAAAGGTCAGCTGTTTAAATTCACCAGCGGCTCCTTGAAAACCCTGTGGGGCGGTTCTTCTCTGTCCTATAGGGTCAGAATTGACTTGACAGAAACAGGTTTATTTTATTCAGAAACTTTCCCTAGAATATTACAAATTTTCTAAAATTTGATAAGCACATGTTAATGAGATCTTGTTATTTGAAATCTCAGTTTTCCCAATTCCCCAAAAACCTTTGAAGGCACTCATCCTACAGAACTCAACTCAGGCATCCACTACCTCTTGCAGAAACCTTTTTCTGATACCTTAGCGTTGTCATGATGCTGACAAACTGTACTGCAGTTGAATTACTTTCTTTTTATTGTTGGATTGCAAGCCCTTTGGCTGTAGGAACCATGTAGGGACTGGAATAGTGACTATCATGTAATGTCAGGTGCTGTGGGGTCGGTTCGGACTCATAGTGACCCTGTGTACAATAGGATGAAGCACTGCCCAGTCCTGCACCATCCTCAGAATCGATGTTGTGTTTGAGCCCGTTGTTGCAGCCACT